CAACTGGTGACAAAGTATTGCTTTATGATGAGTCTGTCCGTAGAGGTAGAAGTAAGAAGCTAACCTCATTATGGATAGGGCCATATACTATAGTAGAAAAATTATCTGACGTGAACTATGTCATTCAGAAAGGAAACAAAAAACAGACAGTCCACGCTAATAGATTGAAACATTTTTACGACTAAAAAAAAAAAATTTATATATAATATGTATATACCTAGTTCCACTTTTTCATTTACATGTATATACCTATATTTAGGAAAGCACAAACCTAAAGTTCGCTAACGATATTCTCCTCTTTTCAGGTTTGCCGTCAGGGTTATGCTACTCGCTAATATTATCAATTTAGCGATGGCCAAATCTGAATATAACGTTACCTACTATGACCACAATCCGGGCATTCATTTCGAAAAATTGGGAGAAATGCGGCTTTACAACAACAAATGGAAAATTATAACTTTTGTAAATATAGATAGTCTAAGCGATAAATTTCCAAGTTTAAATAACTATTATACGATGACCTTAAATTTATGCAGACACGAAAATGCGCAATATCACTATTATATATGTGATTCTTTTGTGAAATTCACTAAATATAATCTCAACAAAATTAATAGAGAATTACAAGTTCTGCACGAATTAGTGGGTCATGATATAGTATCCAGAAATAAGAGAGGTTGGTTTGACATAATAGGAAAAGCAACAAAAGTTTTATTCGGGATCTTAGATAACGACGATGCAAAATATTATGACGCTAAAATTTCGGAATTCTCAAAAGATGAAAACTCAGTAATTAATCTTTTGAAAGAACAAACAAAAATAGTGCAATCCACCTTGATAAACTTTAACAATACAATAGGCACATTGGATTTCAATGAGAACGTCTTGAAAGGCAATATAGAAAAAATCGCGAAGGAATTGGATAAAAACCAAAAAGACGTAAAGTTTCTAAACTTAAAAACAAATTTAGAAGACCATGTTACAATAACGAATATGATTTTAAATCAGTTACAGCTAGAAATCATGTCACTCACCAACGCAATCCTTATTGCTAAAAAGGGAATATTGCATCCGGCTATCATGACGCCTGTCCAATTAACAAAAGAATTAAGACAAGTTTTAGAATCTCTTCCCCATGGGTTGGAATTCCCGATACCTTTAGACACATCCAATGCAAACATTTTGCTAAATATAATTGAGTTACAAGTTTTCTTTGAAAATAAACGTCTTATATATATCATAAACACACCTCTTGTAGAGACGCAATTATTTTATTTATACAAAATATCACCGTTTCCCAAACTAGTAGTATTGAATGAATTCATTTTAATTCAACCTTCCTCAAAATATATTGCAATAGACGAAAGTAAACAACAATTTGTACAATTTTCAGATATGGAATACATATCTTGCATTAAGTTGCTAGGAAATAAAATTATTTGTAAGCAACATAAGCCAGTATCTCTTGCACATCTCGTAGACAATTGCGAGATTAGACTATTGCAAGCTACTTCTGATAAAATTCCCGAAAATTGCGACAAACGCATAGTTACTTCTAAGAGAGGCATTTTTATTCAATTGTCAACCAGTAACACTTGGATATTTGCAGTACCTAATACAGAAACTTTAACCATATCTTGTACCAATAATGATAAGCCAATGGATGTTACTTTAAAAAATTGTGGTAGCGTCACACTTGCGAAACAATGCAAGGCTTATAGTTCTTCAACAATATTAATGCCTCATGACAATATCTATCAATCAGAAGTGTACAGTGAAATTGTTCCGCCATTTGATATTATTGATGAGTGTTGTGAAAAAGTGAAAGAACATCAGATAAATTTTTCGGAAATTGTGTTGAACCAACATTATAAAACGTTGAGTAAACACATACCCGAACTTAACATTGCTAGTCATAAGTTGGACGATATAGAAAAATTAGCAGATGATATTCACAAAAACAAAGCTACATCTCGCTACACATTTTCTGCTTCTATACTGGCGTATATTTTAGCAATCATTGTACTATTTTATTTAGGTTATAAATTCTATAAGAAATGCATTTGTCGAAAAAATAAAAATTCTTGTTGTGGCATTCCCAATTTGTGTATTAGAGTCAATCAAAATGTACAGCCATCCTATCCAAATAATGAATATGCAGCTCGATATATAAACAGAAATAGAGCAGTAAGAAGTACAACTGGTGATGATGATTCGGACGAGGAAAATGTTTCATTAGAATTTCCTCAACGGAAAAGTATTGGCTATGCACCAACAAGACGAGCAGTCAAATAAACTTAGTTTTCATAAACATTTTCTTCCTGATGTCATTTACTGTTTTTAGCATAAATATAGTTATAGGTTATATAGCTATTAGTCCATTTTTTAATTGTATCATATTACTTTAGAAATAACTTACTATAATTATCTACTTAAATTTTATACAAGCTTGATCAGAGATTTTACTTCATTTGATTTTTCATTTAAATTACATAAAATCTCTCATTAAGAGGGGAGGTGTTATGAACCAATAAGATAACACAGTGATTATAGGAACATTTAATTATATCTCTAATTTTCTATTATATTTACTATGTATTTTGCAGAGAGGCCTGACCATGCCTTGTCGGCTCAATATGGCTTTACCTTTCGGACCCTTGTTTTATATCCCTCTATTTTCATAAACTGTTAAATTGTCGGAATGATGTCCAATAACTATTTACGTGCCCGAATAGGGTTTAGTTTTTATTATTGTATAAACTTCCCAAAAAAATCCCAAATCATTAAATATTTTAGCACCAATATAAGTAACATCTGTAAAATAGCGTTAAGGTACTTTCAGTGAATAACTAGAGGAACTCCCGCCCTTTCGAAGGAGGTTCCAGGACGTTTCCTTCTTTCAGGAAAGAAGACGAGAAGACATTCAGAATTCCATCTTGACTCTGACAACATCTAAAGTTACCTCTCATAACTGACAAAGTGTCCTTCCCAAAACTTATAAATTTTCACAAATAAACGAAACCTTTTTTTATTAAATCAAAAGATATAGTTTTAATTCTAGTGTAGGTATATTTGGGATAAAAGTCACAGTTCTTGTGGCTCAACTCCTAACACCTTACACCAAATAATATTGAAACAAATTCGGGGACCAGCTTGACTCAAGACCCCCATTTTTTTGGAATTTTTGATAGTATTTTCGGCATTCAATTGTGCTCGTTTTATGCTCAATTGTCACAATATCAATAAGAATAGTCTCCTTGTAAATAATTCTCTTACAAATTCGCACTTACACCGGCACAATTGATCAGCTGGCTGGCCCCTGGATTTATTTCAATTATTTTTGGTGCATGGGAAAGAGCACAATTCGCATTAATACTGGCATAATTCAGCACAAAACGGGCACAATTATAGTCCAGGAGGTGGCGCCAAAAACATGCAAGAGTTTTCGCAAGGCGGATATTTTCAAAATAGGTCCTACTTTAGTGCCAGAATGCTAGTGTACAGTCAGCACTCACAGTTCCAGGACAGCTGGCTCTGGGACGCGGGCAAAGTTGTAATTTTAAGAAGCATCTAAACTGTTTTCTCAAAGCTCAAAATTTATAGAAATTTTGCACATTATCTGTTTGAAGGTCACAGATAACGTATGTAAATCGTCAGACGTCTAGTTCGTTGCAAAAAGGGGGTCAGACGTCCTCAAAGTTTTTATTTCATGGCATTTTCTTCAAATATATTTGTCAAATACCTGCAAAAATATATTTTGACAGGACACCGAAGAAAATGCCATAAAATAAAAACTTTGAGGACGTCTGACCCCCTTTTTGCAACGAACTAGACGTCTGACGATTTACATACGTTATCTATAACCTTCAAACAGATAATGTGCAAAATTTCTATAAATTTTGAGCTTTGAGAAAACAGTTTAGATGCTTCTTAAAATTACAACTTTGCCCGCGTCCCAGAGCCAGCTGTCCCGGAACTGTGAGTGCTGACTGTACACTAGCATTCTAACACTAAAGTACGACCTATTTTGAAAATATCCGCCTTGCGAAAACTCTTGCATGTTTTTGACGCCAGCTCCCCAACTATTATTGAATGAGCCAAAAATATTGCCAAAATGTCAAAAAAATGGGGGGCTGGACTGTAGGGTTTCCATACGTCCGGATTTACCCGGACATGTTTGGGATTTTAGGGTGTCCGGGGAAGTCCGGCCGGAATTCGGAACAATGTCCGGAAAACTTGGAGATCGTGAAAACACTCGTATTCACTCAGTCTACGCACTATTCAAAAACTTCGAATTTTACTTCACGCATTAGTACGTAAGGTAATTCACTTTATACACTAGTGCGTGAAGTAATGTCAATAACAGATGTCGACACTGTAATTTTTTTCTAGTAAATTACTTCACTTTACGATTTACGTACTAGTACGTAAAGTATTTGTCTAATTTTTTTTTTACATAATATACATATTTTATAGGTAGTAAAATTTTTTCGTATATGCAATGCGTGTGTAAAGTGAACCTTTTTTCACGAATGTGAATTTTGTCGCACTCGTCCTTCACTTTACACACTTGTTGCATAAATGGCTATTTCGGCGAAGTCCGGATTTTGTCCGGATTTCTTGACTCCTTTGTCCTGATTTTCGAAAAACGTTTATGGAAACCCTAGGCTGGAGTCAAGCTGGCCCCCAGATTAGTTTCAATATTTTTTGGTGTAATGAGAATGAGCACAATTGATTACAATTAAGAAACAATACAAAACCGAATGTGGGGGGCCAACTTGAGTGAGCCTTCAGTTCATCAAATTTGACTCACAAAAGACTGCTTATGCTTATTTTTTTGGATGGAATCAGTTAAAACTGGAGGAGGCATCTTTATCCCCAAAATGACATTATTGGATGATAAAATCTTGGATTTGATTAAAGAGAATTATTTTTTTATTGATAATAAACATTACTCCAACAATGGCGTTTTAGAAAAGACTGAAGATTAAGAATATTCTATGCCAGGAATATTAGCACAAAATACACTTGAAGAAATAAAATCGGACAATACAAAAAGTTACATTGATAATGAAGAAAATATTATTGTGATATACGAAGATTATGGAAACACATCTAATGAGACACATAAAGATAATTTTTCATCAAGCAAAGGCATATTATTAGACAGACATAATGTGGTCAACCTGAACATTGATGATACAAATCTACACAACGGAGGAAAAATTAGTGAAAGCAATACTGATGATATATGGCCATTGATGTCAACTCCAAAAAGTGATTTAATTCCCAGAAATGAAGACAAAGAAAGAAGAGGACAAAAAAGAAAAGTGCAATTTTCCAAGCACGAAATAAATAACACTGGAAAAGTGAGTGTTGGTGGTTTGATAAATAATAAAAAAATTCAACTTATAGATAAAAAAATATCAGTCTTAGATATAATGAAAAAAGTAGAAGAGGAAAATCTTAAAGGAGAGATTCTAGATAATGAGATAAAAGCCATAATAAAAGAAAAAGAACTGATAGAATTAAAGGCAAAAAAAAACTCCAATACCTATCCAAATATTATCGCTCCTCCCAGATTATTGTAGGGCCTTATAATGATCAGTTTCATATTAGTTTGGTCCACTAATATATATTTAAATTAACTTTGCAATTATATTATATTATATTACCGAGTATATTACCTACCTCAGTTATTTTCAAAATATTTTGCAGATCATACAGCTATTTACACAGCTATAACTTAAGGGATATTTAAGCTATAAGTGGAACTTTGAATGTGAGTCTTGTAGAAACAAATGTCACGTTCAAATCTTCACTTAGATTAAATATTCCTTAAGTTATAGCGGTGCAAATAGCACATAATGTAACAGTGATGTTTGTTAGTTTTTGTAGGTAGGTTTATGTTAAATACCTCAGGGTGTTTGGCGGAGGGTTAGCCAGACTTGGTGGGCGTATTTCGAAGATATTTTATTAATACAATTGTGGCCTTAGGTTCCATTTTTTTTTCATCATTTGTTCTCAAAAATTTTCAAAAATGAACCTTTTAACTTCTGTAACTTTTTTTAAAATATTTATGAAAACGTTTGTTGCGTGTGTTTTTGGTCTGTAGGGTATCCTTGATAATATAAGAAAGTTAAAAGGTTACAGAAGTTAAAAGGTCCATTTTTGAAAATTCTTGAGAATAATACAAAAGCAATGATATAAAAAAAACGAGGACCTTAAGGGCATTAGTGTATTAAGAAAATATCTTCCAAATGGTCCTATCTATACGCCCACCAAGTTTGGCTAACTCTCCGCCAAACACCCTATATAGTTTGTTAACTGTAGTATTGATAAAACCTTTAATATATTTTTCATTATAAAAGTATTTAGTTATTACTACATATTAATAAATATTCATTATTCAATGCTTACTTGATTAAAACACTAATGGCCATTTGCACGGCTATCACTTAAATTAAATATACCTTAAGTGGATCTTTGAATGTGATTTTTGTTTTTACAAGAGTGGCATTCAAAGTTCCACTTGAATTAAATATCCCTTAAGTTATAGCGGTGCAAATGGCCATAATTCTAAAAGAATGTGTATATTTTTTCCTTATTTATATTTTATACATTTTCAGGTAAAGATAGGTAGGTACTTTCCAATATATTAAGTGAAAACTGTGGCAATTAAAGCATCTCTGGTGGCAAAATTTTGGTGATTTCTATGATCAGCTTCTATGACCCCAATAATTTCATCCATGTTATCAGGAATATAGTCTAGATGCTCTAATTCATCATTATTTAAAACACAAATATTATGCAGCACTGCCGTAGCAACTATAATTGTACAAACAGTTTCCAATTTCAAGCGCATACTCAGTGATAAACAAGGAAATCGCCTTTTCCAAACTCCAAATAAGCGCTCAACTGGGTTTCTTGATGCAATTTGAGCATTATTATATCTGTTTTGTGCGGGTGTTTGAGGATCTATTAGTGGTGTCAATAAATATTGTCTGCAAGGGTATCCACCATCTCCCACTAAAAAATATGGAGAAAATTCTTGGTTTTCAAACCTAGCCCTAATATTCGAATCGTTGAAAATTGTGGTGTCGTGAACGCTTCCAGGCCATCTGGCCACAATGTCACATATTTTGAGATCACTATCTACTACCACTTGAGTGTTAATGCTAAACCATTGCTTTCGGTTTCTAAAAACCTCAGCATTTTCTCCACCTGGGGATTGAATTTTTATATGTGTACAGTCTACTGATCCTGAAATGTGGAAATATTTAATTTGTGATACCTTTGTGTCCTTCTGAACACAACAATATTTCAGAAGATATGTAGTTTGGTAAAGCAGAAAGGTTTCAAGTATGTATGGTATAAATGCAAAATAATGAAATTACTAATGAAAAACAAACCTATAATTCCAGGAAGACCAGCAATATTAAAGAACTTCAATACCGTTTCTCTTTGCTCTTCTTCAGTTTCCAGCATTTTAATAAATTGTACACGTAATGCAGCAATATTCTCAGCTACTTTAGCAACAATCCGAAATACCGTAGGCTGAGATACATTGAAATGATCGCCAAGATTAATCTGGAATGATCCTGTTGCACAAAACCTCATATAAATCAAAAGCTGATTTCTTTTGGAAATAGGGTAATTCCTATTGTCTAAAGATTCCGCAATATCTTGAAGCAAGTTTTCTAGATACTGGAATGCATTTTTGCTTACTCTGAACCGTTTTTTAAATTCCACTTCATCCAGCTCGTAAAATAGATCATTCCGTTGTTTCACAACTCGATCTCTTCTCTGTCCTGGAATGTCATCATCGGAGTCAGAGGAACTTGAAGAGTCGAATAAATTATTGAAAAGTCTATTCATATTGTTTATTTTTGAATAAATATGGAAAATAAATACAACAAACTGATAGGAATTAAGAAACATACAAAGGAAAACAGTCAGGTATCATAACCCTACTTTCAATACTTTCTAAATTAACTCTTTGTTAAACTCTTTAACAGCTCAAAATTGCTCTGATAACCTAACTGAGGATTTAACTAATTGATATCTCATAACTGACGTTGGTGAATAACAAAACATGATTTAACCCTCTAACAAACTGTTAATACTTTACCAGTTCACGGTGAATACGGCCGTTAGATATAAATAACAAAATGCTACTCGGCAACTGGGCATTTGTCAAATGACGTTTGTATTTGTAGGCAAATGGCAAATCCCTAGTCAAAATGCAAATAGCCAAACTTTTATTAATTTTCACCTCTTTTGTTATTTGCCATGAATAAATGACTCAGTGTGTTTCAGCCATTGGTATTAGCCAAATGGAATAAATTCGATAATAAATGGGGAACTTTTCTAAAAAATGCTCAGACACGTCGACTTTGTTTTTTTGCTTAAGATTTTTTCACGCCATTTTTTTTAAACAGGGTGTTCCTAGGACAGCTATGTACGATTATCAATTTTATTTTTTTCAACGGTAGCTCCTGTATTAGGACATTTCTGGATTCTGCGAAAAATTTTAAAGTGTTTTTTTTTTCCTAAGATGGATTTTGACATTGAAAACTTTGAAATATAAACAATACCGCTTGGCCCCGATTGGTCGCAAAATGCTGTGTCCCTGCAGGTTGGAATCAGTTTTACAGGTATATGGTTAAAATGGCATCTTGCGACCAATAAGCGGCATTGTTTATATGTTTCAACGTTGACAGTGTCAAAATCAATTTCGGGATATCTATCTTTACATACATATTTCATGTAGGTACAATGTCATACCTATCTTCAATTGTTCTGGAAATTTCAACAGTAGAAAATTGACTTTTTTGCAACTTTGACAGACTGTAAAACCTTAACGGTTGATTTCACAGCAGAATCGATCATACATTCTTATCTTAGTTTTCCATAAACTATCATTTGACACCAACTTGGAAATTAATCCATGATTAAAAATTTCGGGTAAACTTAATCTCTGCTTAAATTTAAACTTAATGTCAAATGACAGCTCATGGAAAGCTACAGACGAGAATGTGAGATCGGTTTTGCTGTAAAATTAACCGTTTAGGTTTTACAGACTGTCAATGTTGCAAAAAAAAAAACAATTTTCAATTGTCAATGTTTCCAAAACAGTTGAAGATAGGTATATGACATTGTAAATGAAATATGTCTAGAATTTTCCGCAAAATCCAGAAATGTCATAATATACAGGGGATACTATTCAAAAAAATAAAGTTCATACCAGCGAAAAAATATATCGAAAAATTTGTGAGCGATTTTTCAAAAATTCTAGCGTTTTCAAAATAATGAATTTATGCGGGATGAACTTATCACTGTATTTGTGATTCAAAATTAATAATGTTAACTTTTTTGAGTGCAAGCACTACCTCGGAGTTGATAGCGCGAACGAAAGTTCTGGTAGAAGCTTTTAATTTGAAACTGATCCAGAATGGAGCTCCGAATAGCTTAGGGAAATGATCAATTATAAGTGACATCAAATTATGTTTGAATCTTGAGGAATCTATGGGAAGCAATAGATTGCCGACGAGCTGGAGAAAAATCCGGCGAGCGAAGAAAGAAATGCCGGTAACAAAGCTGAAAGATTGGTCAAATATAGCTGCTAATCCAGAACGTGATTAATATCCTTTAAACACACGCTCCACAGAGTCGAACGTAAAGTCAGTCCATGGAAGAAAAACCACGCTAGAAGACATTATTCCCGAAGACATGGCTTTACTTTGAAAGCCATCTATCAAGAATGATAGATGGAATTATTATGGATTTGACGGTGGGGTTTTGACACGGTGAAGGCTTTTCACAAGAATAAATAGTCAGATGATTTGATAGGGAAGCCAGTGTTATGAAAGTACACTGAAGACGACGCCATTGTAACAACTCGAGCGCGATTAATCGGGTTTATTACTTATTTCAATTACTTATACCCTAACTCTAATTTTATATGAATAATGAATATATCGAATCCTACATCCTATTTTAAAACTTTGAATTGCACAATTTTGCGCATTTCTAGGTTGAATTTGCAGACATTATTTCTTTGCATTTGTATTAAGAAAACATAATCCAACTTTCAATAGTTTTTTTTTTTGGAAGTAACAAAAGTTTATGATTAAGTATCTTTTTCAAAAAACAAAATATAAACAAACAGAAGAAGTAAAAACTATAGTGAATGCAGAATTTCTTGCGATATTAGGGAGAATTTTAAACGGCGATTGCGTGCTGACATCGATCTGTTTCCAACGAAACCAGAGCTGAAGAGACCTATAGAAAACGCTTCCATTACTCAATATATTTTTCAATTGTGTTCTATACTTGCTAAGTAATAATTTTTAACAATATCAAGATTGTTTAAAAATATTTTAGCAGGCACAGACAAACGTTATAGAAACAGAAATTTCAAATTGCAATCTCTATAAATATTTCGTTTTGCCAACGAGATAACTCGCGCTGAGTTTTCCAGTGGTCCAGCACAGCCACCCCGCCATGGAGAGCTGTCAAACGCATGTGGGCGTAACGGAAGCTCTTTTTTTATAAATAAAAGAAATATAATTTATAAATGTGAACCATGCATTTTTCAAAGTGCTTTTTGTTGACCTTATGTTTTGTGATAATTGGTTTGCTCAATTTTTCTACTGGTAAGCGATGCCTGGACATTTTCTATTTGCATGACCTAGATTTATCTGCTACTAGCAGGATCTTGTTTAGCTGCAGCTCAGATTTGCAAAATGCATCTCTGTTGAACTCTGTCGACCTTTCCGGTTTTGCATAGTTAAAAAAACGTTTTTTAGTGTAAATTTACCTACCTTTTAAATTTAATTTTTCAATATGCCTATTTGAAGTGTACCTAACAATTAAGAAGTTATTTAGTTGGCTGGTTTGTGGATATCCATAAGTGGTGTAGGTAACTGCCTATAGTAACTACGCAGTTGAGTAGGTACAGGGTTCAAAGATCTGGAGCGCCACACCTTTATAACTTAATGCACCTCTACCAGAAATGTTTTGACAGAAAAATGGTAAACGCCTTTGGTGTAGGTGTTTACCATTATCAATAAAAGTTTTTTAGTTGAACTCATAATCTTATTTGGTGTTTTGTCATGTGGTAAGTTTTGTTTATGTTTTTGATGATAAATAGTGCAATAGAAATTGTAACTTTAATGTTTATAATTTAGATATTTTTCTTAGATAAAAGGTAAAAAACTAAATTCGTTTCTCTTGAGAAGTTTTTGCATGTGCAGAAATGCTGAATAGTTTGAAAAGTATTTTTATGAATATAAGGTTCTCTTCTTCAGCGGATGTAAAAACCATAGAAGCCAACCCTGACGCAAAAAGGCTCTACGATGACCTCCTTAGCAACTACAATCGTCTCATTCGACCAGTAATTAATCATACAGAAACCCTTACGGTATGGCTTGGCCTCAAACTATCCCAACTTATAGAAATGAATTTGAAAAATCAAGTTATGACGACAAATCTTTGGGTGGTGCAGGTAAAAACATTAGTATAAATTTTTTTTAAATTAATTATGTAAAGTAACAATTTGTGTCAATATTTCACATATACTAAACATGTTCTATGGGGTCTAGAAATAGCAAATTTTTGAGCTATACCTACTCTTCAATGATTCGTTAAAATCAGCATTTTACACAATTTAGATCAACTACGCCCGACATTCTCAATCAAGGTAGGATAGTCAGTATTTTTTTCCCTTTTGGTTCAATGGGCTTATTTAGCTTTTATCTTATTTCTCAAACCTGCGTCTCAACTGAATTCAATACTGTAGAGGTTGATGATCGGCTTTGCTGTTCTCCCTTTCCTAGCGAATATTCGCTCTTAACATTATTTCTGTTTTTAGTTGGGTGGGAAGAGATTGAAAATTTTCCTTCTTCGTCTCTTGACAACGTAACAGAAAAACAACAAAAGGCATGAACAGTTTAGAGTTACGGCTAATATTAATTCAACATTTTGCAATTCCGGAGGGAATCTTCCTGAAGGTAGTGTGAAAGGCATTCTTACTACGCAGGTTGGAAGAGAACATTCGATTTTCCAGGGCAAAATCCCACTGAATTTCTCGTTCATCTTCAGATGCCGATGAGTCGATCTCGATTTTTTTGGTGATTCTGAGCTCTTCGGCTTGAACTGGGTCAAAAGCTTTCTCATATTCTATGACACATACATATAATCCCTAGGCCTTGGTACCCTCCACGAAATCCAACTGTGTGTTTCCTATGAAGAATTTCCATTTTCCGTGAATTCATTCATGGACAATCTTTAGAAATATCTTCAGCACATGATTCATCAGGCTGACGAGGTGGTTCGACTCGAAGTTCAATTATTGCTAATATGTTATCATGAAGTTCGTTAATTTTGAGTCTAGGTTATAGTAAATTTCATTTTGGCTTTAACTGGATTGTGGTCTAAGCCTATGCGTTCGCGCCTTTATGTCGTCTCTTTACTAATAGGTAGTATATGGACGCCTAGCTATTTAAAAAACGCATTCTACACAACAAAATCCCTTTCCTGATCAAATGGTTCGATCTCGGCACTCATTTGGAAAACCTAGACCCTATTTTCCAACGATGTCTTGTCTTTAAGTGTTTCCAAGTTGTTCGCAGATGTCCTCCATAATTTTTGATTTTTTTTGTTAAACTAAGGAAAGTCAGAATATGATTGTAGTTGGAGCATGCAATGAAATAATATTGTCGCGGCTTTGGATTGCTGGACAGAAATCTTGGGTTCGTTTCGTTTATTCCAAAAATCAAAGTACAATTAACACAGCAATAATTTATTCCACTTAACAATACACTCTGACACTAATTACTCTAATAACTAACTCAACAATTAAACTCTTACAACTCGCAACAATAATCACTATTTAAATCGTATCACAGTCAAACTGAAACTTTAACTTAAACTACAAAGCAATAGCGGCCTTTTATATATCCCTAAATCTATTCCTGTAAAATCTAGAACACACACGATAATCTTATTTTCTCGATTATAGTAGAATAATTCGCTAGGTTCTAGGATATTCGACATGAAATTCTTGACAGCCTGGCGGACGCCTATTCTGGCAACAGCGTTTAACGTTATCATAACACTGCCCTCCTCTTAAGGTTGATCGTCCCGATCAATTTCACGCCCATGATATTTCGCCAATCTGTCCAGATGTACAACTTTCATCTTACTCCTGGTGTTGCGCTGGACTCGATAAACCAAATCATTGATCCTCTTCATTATTCTATAGGGTCCTTCCCATGCTGAGGACAATTTCGGCGATACTCCTTTCTTTCTAGCTGGATTATACAACCACACTAAATCACCTTCTTGAAATCCAGCTGAATTGGCTTTCAGGTCGTATCTGGTCTTCATCCGGTCACTGGCTAGTTGAATATGAACCTCCCGAGCAAAATGATGGATACCCAGAAGTCGTGCTCTTACTTCGTCGGCATAGTCTCGAATTTCTTTTCGTTCCTCTTCAGGTATCCCAAACATTAGATCGCAAGGTAAACTGATTTCTCTTCCAAAAACGATTCTGGCTGGACTTTCACCTGTTGACTCGTGAACAGCTGCTCTGTAAGCCATTAAAAATAGAGGCAAATGCTTGTCTCAATCTCGCTGGATCCTTGCGACCACTTTTGTCAGGTGTTCCTCTATGGTCTTATTGAATCGTTCTACCATGCCATCAGACTGTGGATGTAAAGGTGTTGTCCTTGTCTTACGAATACCCATGATCTCACAAATTTTCTTAAAGATGGCAGATTCGAAGTTTCGTCCCTGGACTGAATATAACTCTAGTGGCACACCATGACGACTAAAAACTTCGTCCACTAGTACCTGGGCAACAGTGATGGCTTCTTGATTGGGAATAGCGAAAACTTCTGGCCATTTTCTGAAATAATCCATGATAACTAAGATGTATTTGTTACCACGCTCTGACTCTGGAAACGGTCCAGCTACATCTCTCGCTATTCTTTCAAATGGAAGACCGACGTTGTACTGTTTCATGAGCCCCCGAGATCTTAGTTTAGGGCCTTTACTGGTAGCACAGATGTCGCATTTTCGGCACGAGCTTTCAACGTCTTCATGGTAGTGAACCCAGTAAAAACGTTCCCGAATTTGTCCAAGGTCTTGTTATCTCCGAAATGTGCCCCTGAAGTTCCGCCGTGTATTTCTTTTAATACATCTTCCACTCGGTCTCGGCCAGAGAGTTCCACTGGGCCCACAACGCCTTGTAAATCAAGCTCTTGTTTGACACCCTCCATTCTGGCGTACATTCATCATTTTCTTTAAGATGTAGCATTTGCCCGATGTCCTGGTCTGCCTCCTGATCTTCTCTCATTTGCTTGGTAGTCCATTTGGCATCGACGATCAGGCCCGTTCTTCTTACAGCTGGACTAGTGTTTTTCTCATGTATATCGATTCTTTGACAATGTTTGCAATCTTCTTTACATGGCCGTCTAGACAGAGCGTCAGCATTTTTATGCAGGTTCCCAGGTCGATGTTTAATTTGGAAATCGTATTGCTGCAATTTCTCAATCCATCTAGCAAGCTGTCCTTCAGGAGTTTTCATTTCTAAAAGCCATTTTAGAGCTGCATGATCTGTTCGAATTATAAACCTGCGTCCGTAGAGATACTTATGAAAATGGTCGACTGCTTTTACTATGCCAAGCAACTCTCTTCTGGTGACACAATAATTTCGTTCTGGCTTTGATAAGGTTCTGCTGTAGTACTCCACGACATGTTCTTGTGAATTTTGGATTTGTGAAAGGACAGCTCCAACACTGGTGTTACTTGCAACTGTGTCCAATATCAACATGCCTTTCTGATCAGGATAGGACAACACTGGGCTCGTACATAATGCTCCTTTCAATTTTCTAAATGCGGAATCACATTCTTGGGTCGAATTGAATGTTGATTTTTCTTCTGTTAATCGATGGAGCGGAGCAGCTATATTGGCGAATCCTTCCACAAATCTTCGATAATAAGAACATAATCCTAGAAAACTCCTTATTTCATATTTGTCGCGTGGTTTTGGCCAGTCCCTGACAGCATCTATTTTTCCTTCCATAACTTGTATGCCATCTTCAGATACCACGTGACCTAAGAATTCCAATTTCTTTTGAAATAGAAAACACTTATTTGGATTGAGTTTCAAGTTGGCATTCCGGAAGCGGTCAAAAACTTCTTTCATGTTATTGAGATGTTCTGAACGAATTACCCATAATCATGACATCATCCAAATATACCAGGCAAGTTCTCCATGTAAGGCCTCGCAAAACAAGATGCATCAGTCGCTCAAACGTAGCTGGAGCATTACACAATCCGAAAGGCATTACATTGAACTGGTATAGTCCGCTTCCGGTACTGAAGGCAGTTTTCTCTTTGTCATCGTCATGTATTGCCACTTGCCAGTATCCACTTTTGAGATCCAAGATGGAAAACCATTTGGAGCCCGATAGAGTTGTTAATGTATCGTCTATTCTCGGGAGAGGGAAGCTGTCCTTCTTGGTGACGTCATTAAGCTTTCGGTAGTTTACACAAAATCTAAGACTCCCATCTTTCTTTGTAACCAATACTACTGGCGCAGACCATGGGCTATTTGACTCTTCAATGATTCCCTCTTGCAGCATTTTATCAATTTGGTTTTCCACTTCCTGTTGCTTAGCTACTGGCATACGTCGTGGTGGTTGTCTAATGGGGTGTGCCAGCCCAGTATCAATTTTGTGTTGAATTAAGTTGGTCCGTCCGGTTTGATTGTCCATCACAAATACGTCTGCTTCTTGCAAGATGAAATCTGTGGCTTCTTGGAGTCTATCTGGATCGAGATGTTTCCATGATTTCGCCAAAGTCTGCATCAAGGTGTCTGTATCCAGTTTAGATTTCACAGAATATCGCTTATCTGGAAGGTCACAGTTCGATATTTGCTTAACTGGTTCGAGAGTTCCAATAATGTTTCCCTCTTTTATTCTTACTGTTTCGGAAGAAACATTGGCAATTCTTATCATAATGTCCCCATTTGTTCTTACTAGAGTCTTCCCAACAATAAATCTTTCTGGTTTATCTCCAATAAAATTACGTGTTAGTCCAACGCAGCACCCAGGGTTTGTTTCTAATCTTCCACAAATGATCTTCTCAGTACTTCCAGGAATGCTCACTGGGGTTGTGGCCAAGATCTTAACGGCATCGGATTCTTCTTGTGTTGTTAGGACAATTTCTTCATTGCCAAATTTAAGGATGTTCATGGAAGGATCAAAAGAGAAACCATGTTGGCCGATCAAATCCATTCCCAAAATGAAATCATCTTCTATATCGGCGACTGTTCTGTGCCTGAAGGTAGTAGATCCAAAAGTAAGCTCAATCATAGCTTCTCCTTGAACTGGTGCAGATTCGCCGGTGACTGTTCGTAGTGACAGATTTGTAGTGAGCGGTTGGATTGCCCGAGACTTTACTAATGTTCTTCTAATTATAGAAACTTCAGCACCCGTA